CATTATATAATAACAGAAGGGAAAAGGCGCCAGGTGATTGGCTGGCAATTCAAAACACGAATTCAAATGACAGATAATAATTACTAGAAGATGGATGAACTCTTGTTGTAAATTCTATTCAGTCTGCTTGGTTGAAAGATGCTAAGCTCGAAATTGGAGAATTGGCGCAGCTTTTCTCGAACGATCGAAATTTGCAATAAAGCTTATGCCGTCAGTATAGCATAAAGTCAAATAAATAAATTGCTGCCATTTCCGTTGAAGTGTGACATAATGTCAGCGAAATTCCCTGATGAGTGCATGTGATTGGTCGAGAAAATGAAAAGAAGTCATCTGCGAAGCACAGCGCGCAGAATGCCACCTGTACTGTCTCAAACTAAACTGAAACAAATTTTCGTGTTCCTGTGACGCTGATACAAGATACAACACTTTAAAACAGACCTGCGGATGCCCTAAACAGTTATTTCATTCAATTCAGTTCACAAGTAGAATAAGATTCATAAGAAATAATTCTAATTATATCTAATGAAATACCATCTTCAGTCAGTTTTTCTATTTTAGTGTTTAGCACTGAAATCCTAGAAATGAAACAAAAGTATGAAATCTGTCACGAACGCAGAATTAATATAACCCACCTTTTTCCGGTCGTGTTTAAAAATTCATGAAAAAACATTCAATTTCGGCATCGCATACGACGTATTCTTGGTGTGGGACTGTGGAGACCGCATTAACATTTCTTATGCTCAGAAATTATAAAAATAGCATCTAGATCTCGAATGAATCATTCAGCAGGCAAACAAATATGCTAAATGCCTGTTGGTTGCCAGTGTTAGCTTATCACCATTCGCCTCTATAACTCTGACTTTTCATAACGGTAAGTAATGTACCTCGCAAGAAACTTCTTTTCTTACGATGATCAAAACGTAATTTTTTTTTTTCAGAATAATTTAATTGTCAGTCAGACGAGTGATAACAATAACGAATGCCACGAACTAAGGCCAGGTTCAAACGTCGAACTTTACATGTGCCGAACCTAATACCAATTTGGGTCGACCCAAATAATTGAGTTCGGCAGTTGATTCAAACGTCGAACCTTATTTAGTCGAACTTAATTGCAAAAATAAAAGAGAGACTAATGCAAACGGCGGTTATTGCTGACCAAAATGGCACAAACAGTGTGGGAAAGACGGAATTGTGGAAATGAAGAGCTTGCTTTTCTTGCAAGTGCGATTAA